TGTCGTCAGGGGTTCGGATTGGGCAAGTAAAATAGTGCTACATGCACCTGAAGTGTCGAAACAAACGCTAGCAGCGTTGTTATGCTGGGTTGTCCCAGACTGGGCTTCCTGTAGAACCATTGGTACATGAAGGTCCATCTGGTAACGTGGAACGTGCATGGGCACGTCGGCAACGGTGTCCATGGCAGCAGTTCCAACCAATTCTAAAGTATCGTTGACTTTGGAAACCAATTCGTTGACTTCGAAGACGTCGTCCACAGAAGCCTTGATTTCTTCGGTACTTGCGTTCAACTTCGCTATCTTGGAGGCTGAGCGTGTGACAATGGGCATATCACTGTTCTTGTTGACTCTGGCGGCGATGGGTTTCCATCAGGTCTTCAATTACATCTCCATGTTCATTGACGATAACATTTCTTACGATCTGGTAGACTGGACGGCGGGCTTTAAGTTGGTATTTGAATGAACGAACCAAAGTATCCCTTACTTTAGCTAATTTCTTCAAAGCCTTCTTATCGTACGGCATTGTTTACCAGAAGTTTACCTTTTTCTTTAAACAAATTCGATCTTTCGAATTTTAATTCAAAAATAAATTCAATTTACTTGAATTTCCAAGTTTTAGTTCTACGAAATGTTTTTAAATATCAAAAATAATTTAACTTCGAGTCTTTCGAAGTTTAATTCAAAATAAAATTCAATCACTTGAATATTTCGTTCTACGAACGGGTTTTAAATATCAAACATAAATCAACAACGAATCTTTCGAAGTTTAATTTAAAATAAATTCAATCACTTTGAATTTTAATCAAACAATAATTAATTCCCAAAGGAAATTAATTTTAAAATATAGGCAAACAATAAAACAATTTTTCAAGTCAAAATAAGTTTACAGTTGGTTTGTCGAGAGCAGTGTTGCCAGATTGGGCGATTTATCACAAATTGGGCGATTTTTAACTCGAACTGGCGACCATAAATTTATAAAAATCACAAGTCGCCATTTGGGCGATTTTCGGCGCTAGACCGGCGTCAGACTCAAGGAGGGTAAAATAATTCTCCTTGACTCACCAAAGCTATGATCGGAATAATATAAATAGGTTCATCGACATAACACATATGTTTTATGTCGATGGTTAATTCGAAATTGTCGGAACGTAGCGCTCAAATTTCGAGGCAGAATAACGAAATGTATAAATAAAAATCATGCGTGAACATGTTCAGTTATTTTTTTATTTTACAAGTAAAAATTCACAAAAAAATGTACTTAAAAAAAAACTGGCGACTTTTACTTTATTTTGGCGCCTCTGGTGGCGACATGAAATTTTTTTATCTGGCAACACTGGTCGAGAGAGCTCGTAATTTGAACTGATTGTAATGCAGCAGGCATTACTATTTATATTAAATCAGAAGGATTTTGAAACCAATAATAATTGATTATTCATTTCATTACCTTATTTGGTCACGAAAACCGTGTTTCTAGAACAAAATAGAAGCTTTGGAATTTCGTATGACCAAATAAGGACATTTGAAAAATGTAAAATTTTAGCAAAACTTTGTTTAGCCAATATAAAGCGTTTTGATAATTGATTGGCTGGAAACAAATGTGTCTTTTTCACTTGTTTCCGCCCATTGAAACGTTTCTGTTTCGAAAATTTTCCTTAATTGTGATTGGTTGAAAACAGCGCTTCTCGATAGCCTTTTTTGGTTTTAATAATAGGTCGGACGGAAGACTGAACGCTGTTGCTATATAAACTATATGTGATTAAATATTTATTAAGTGCATCAAAATCTATACCAAGTCTACCATCAGCCGTGAGTATTACTCCAGTTTTTATTTATTTTTTATAGTAAATATTTTATCTCTCAACAGATGAACAGAGCATTATTGGACAAGGCAAACAAACAAGCCAACATCAAGAAACTTTTGAACTTGGATATACAAAAGAAATATACAATAAATGCAGTGTCATCTAAAGATACCGTAATAGGCAGGGCTGTAATTGCTGACTTAGGCGAACATGGGTGGGTATGGATCCCCAAAAAATTTAATGATTTTTTCAATGAAGAAGTAATAGCGGAGTACAATACCAAAGCAGGCAAAACATTGTATGTAGTTTTGATTGACAAAAGAACTATAAAGGGAAGGGATTGTGCAATTATTGAAATTTATTCTTATTGAATACAAATATTGTGTGATTTCTATTAAATAAAAAATTATGTATGATTAATATTTTGTTTTATTTTTTTTGTCCGCAATATCCTTAAATAAAACAGACAGACTTAGGAGGGGAGCCTACAAAAAGGGTATAAAAATAAAATTAATATAATTTGGTTTTAATTTAAAAGCTCACGTGTATACAGTGCATGCAATGGATTGCAAAGAATCTTTATTGCAGCAAAGAAAACTAAAATTTATTAAAGATTTGCAAGCATTAAAAAGACAAATTAATCGATATGAGGAAAAAATTAAAATGGTTAGATTATTTGAAAAAAAGGTACCTTGTAGATTGCAGCAGTAGTAGTAAATGGCAGCAGGTGAAAGGTTTCAAAATAATTGTACGACAATTAAAAGAATAAAAAAGAAGTGAAACCTAATCTAATAATTTGTTAAAAAATAAATTTCTTGAATATTAATTAATATTTTTATTTTAACCTCACCGATTAATTGTTGAAGGATAGGTTAAATAATAAACACATATATTATTTTAAATATTTTATTTTTTAAATATTTTTGTTAATACATTTGACTATAAGAGCAGTATTCTTCAGTATATTGCTGTTGCTGATTTTGTTGAAACTGCTTTTCCAATAAATCAGTTGAAACATCAAATATGTTCTCTTCAATATTTGTATTAATTAATTGATATTGCTGATTTTGTTCGGTATTAGTAAATTGTTGTTGATTTTGTTTTAATTGCTCTTCCAATAAATATTTTGAATCATCCAAGCTTGTACACCATTCTTCTTCCAATACATACCAATCATCGAGAGGTGTTGCAGATGTAGTTAAACATTTTGCCAATTCAATAATTTCTTCAATCGTTAATGGTTTAACTGTACCAAAGCTCACAAAATAAACAGACATGTTGAAGTTTCTTAAATATTATTATTACTGAGGATATTTATTTTATTTTTTAACCTATTTACACAAACTATTTTAAGAGTGGGGGAGGCAACATTTTCGAAATATCAATTTCCTAATAAAAGTACATTTTCATTAGTACAATTTAAATGATTGTATAAATGTTTTTTACAATGTTGCCTATTTTTATTTTTAATTTTTAATTCTAATATACTTGGACAATTTAAACTTTCCATATCTACAATATTTATGTGTGGCATAATAAATGGTTTTAACCATTCAATTTTTGGGGGTCCCTTTACAAATATAATTTCAATATTTCTATCATTTATTTCTCTATTAAATATTTTTTTAATTTCCGAGTAACAATAAACATCATTGGCGTTTGTCCAAGTTGTCCATTTATGTCCGTGAATATTTTTTGTTAGAAAATCCACCTGTTTTCGAAATTGTTCGTTAACGAAGAGTACTCAGTATTAAAATTAAAAAAGAAATGTTTTGTTTCTTCGCCCGTATGCTTAATTGACAATTCTTTACAAATAAACTTTAACTGTTTAAATTGGAATCCTTGAAAATCAACGAAAACAAAATTGTTCATGGTTAAGGTATTAAGTTGGTCTTGATAAAACTAAATTCAATTTTCTTAGTCTTTCTCTTATATATCGCGAATTATGCCGCTAAGTGGGGTGTAATATACAAGGCGATCGTGCAATATTAAGCAAAAGGCTGAAGTATTGTCTGGCATGTCTTTAGTAGTTTCGAATTCCAATCCGGAGTTTAGAATTTCGTTTTGTCTTGAACAATCAATTACTACTACAGGGGCAATACTTTTATACTCTTTTGGATTTAAGAGAGGCTCATTCTCGCGATCATAATATGATTGTTGAAAATTCAAGTACATTTCATACAACATAGAATATTGATTTTTGTCAAAATCAATATTCAAATTATCGTAGGGGTAAATTTTTGAATTTAAATATAATTTTATATTTTTTAAAGTACAATTATCGAATAAACTGCTATTTTTATGAAAACTATTTTTACGATCTGTTTGAAATCCTACAATAACATAACGCGGTTTTTCCAATTGCGTGGCAGATTTTACGTTCCACGTATGATTTTTTGTTTTTTGCAACAAAGGATATTCTATTAATTCCCAATTTCTGAAAGCCACTTCCAGTTCTCTTCCATTTTCAATAAGTTCTAGTAGTTTTAAGTTTTCAACATCAGCCACCGATATGTGGGGCATTTTCCAAACAATTTTGTTAATTGTAATTTTATTTTTTTTCATTGGCAGCGCTATTATAAATTGCATTATGATCAGAATTACTTCGAATTAAAATTAATTAATTAATAATAATTTTTTTTTAATCTTCGGCAAACCCCAAAATCATATTTAAGGGTACACACAGATTAAATTCACCGGTTGCGATGTCGTTTACGTCCACCAAGCAATCTGGGCTTTCAATATTCCAACCGGAATTTTTTAAACGATTAACATCATTTTTATTAAAAGATGTGTATCCCTTAAGGGTTGAAGTAATTCCAGGATTTCTTACACGATCTACAGTTTTTCCCGAAATTTCCAATCGAATTTCACAGAGCCATTTTCTTTAAGTAATTTTCCCTTAATATAAATATAACTCATAGAAGGATGAGTAAACATTTGAGTTTGGGGTATGCAAATTCGTATTTCATCATTGTTCTCGAATGCGCTAGAGTTATATGGTAGATGGGAATGTTTCTCATCATTTACAAGAGAATTATCCGAAAAAACTCTATCATTTACGTTTAAAATACTCATAATTTTTTATTTTAAATCCTAAAGATTTAAGGTATGCGATATTAACAGGTGTTAACTGGTTAACTGTTTGACTGACACTGGCATTAATTGTTACCGCACTTTTGTTATATTTTTAAACCATTACTGCTGCAGCTGCTGCTGGGCCTTTAAATGAGCTCTTATCGTGATGGTCTCTCCTCGGAAATTGAGCAAGTCACCATCCTGGTCGACTATTTTAAAGGTTATATATATATATTATTGATTATTTTTGTATTTATGAGTAAATAAATAACAGTTTGTGGGGACTCAACAATTTTAAATCCGGCTGCTACAGTTGGAAAGAATTCGTTGTAATGTATGACCTTCTCTTCCATTATCATACGTACCGATCTTTATGTCGACTGGTTTTTTGGAAGTGTGTTTAGTATTTTTAGTAAGTTTTTTACTATGAAAACCCAATAAATGTCCAATTGAATTGCTGTAAAATCAATATCTTGAGTAGATTTTATTTCGCATTTTAATGTATTTAAATTCGCTGTTAACGATAAGAATAATTTATCATTTGTTGCTCTATTTAAATCATTGATTTTTTCATTTAAAAAACTGTTAATATTATCAATATCATATGTTCCTTTGGGAATTTCAATTTTGTGAGAGCCAATGTAAAACATATTTTTATCTTTATAAATATTTGGTATAGCATTATATACTTCTAAACTTAAAAGTCCTATAACAAAATCATTATCAAAATCTCTTAAATCTATCGGTGGATAGAAATCAGCACTCAAAACGGATTCCGTCCCCGAAAAACTAAACGTCCTCATTGCTTAAATGCCATTATTTTACTAACGTTTACTTACATGATTATGAATAATTATATAAAAATTGCAAACATAAATGCCCACAGTTTAAAGAATTATAATTTTGAAACTGCGTATGATTGTATGTGATTTTTACGGGTTGTTGAGTTGAAGTGTAAAAATACGATGCAACTTTTGTTGGCGGCATAAGATTACCAAAACTAACGTAATACAAAACGTTTTTATTTTTTTTAATGTATGCAGTCCAGTGTGTTCCATCTCCCTCACTACTATCTAAGTTAATAATTCCACATTCGAATTGTTTAATTTTATGTGGCAAGTCGTCCTGCATAAACACTCCCCGAAAATTTTTAAATTTTTTAGCATATTTATTTAAATCTATATTTGTTAGAGCTCGTTTTGGTAATCTTCCTATGGAAATTTTTTTTTGGGTGTGTAGTAAGAATATGGATTTACAAATAAACCAAGGCCTTTTTTATATTGTTTTAATTGCAATCCCTTTCCCATGGCTATTGTCTCAATTTTTTCATTATGTCGTTGTTTTTCTTTAAGATCTTCTTGCGCTAATTTTGCTTTATTAACGGCACTAGCGATTGAGCTTGCACCTCCGGCCAAAGCTCCAAGAGCACTCAATCCCGCAAATAATGGAATAAGTGGTAGAAATCCACCGGTTTTTGGTAAAGCAATTATGCGAGCACGTTTATCTTTTTTAATGCCCTTAACAGCTTTTGCAGCAATATTAATCGCGGATCCGATATCTTTGGGATTATTATTTTGAATTGCAATTTTAGCTTTTTTAAGGCTTTATTAAATGAGATAATTCCACCCTTCTTTGCTTTCTTTTTTTGTTTTCTCTTTTGTTTCAAACCCATACCTAGTTTTACTTTTGCCTTCATAGCAGTTGTGACACCTAAAGCAGCCAATTTTTCGCTAATACCAGAATCACGAGCCAATACCCTTTTTAAAGCGCTGCTAGCCAAAATTTTATCTGCCTCGTGTCGTTTATCTAATTCCGCGTTTTTCGAATAGGCAATGTCGTGTATTTTACAAGCTTCATCCAATGGATTTATACCCTTATCGTTTCGTGCTAATCGTTTACTTAGCTTAGTTCCGGGTCCACAGTAGTTATAACTTGAAATGTGTAATTCAAATGAAAGCCTATCAATTAATTTGTTAACAAAACCCTTACCACCTTTCACTCGAATTGGCTTTTTGGGAATGGCGCTATTTCTATCGTAACACTTCATTTATACATGTATTTTCATCAAAGGCCAAAATATGACTGATGGTTTTTTATAAATTTATTTGTAATATATGATATTACAAATATAAAAATGTTTAGTATTACACTATGCATTTAGTTAAACAGACCACAAGTCTCAAAATTACAAAATTTGAAGATTCTCAGCAGCATGAGCTACGACATGGCGCATTGTTACCTTCTACTAGAGAGGGGAAATACCGTTCCTCTACGGTACCGTTCCAAATGATACCGCGACAAAAAAATACCGCGACAAAATACCCTACACCTATCGCTTGAAGCTTTATTACCGGCACCTTAAGTACTTTGTATTCTTTGTTGCTATAAATAAAAACGATGTTCAAAGTTTTAGTAGGTAGTTCTGTATTGAAAAAATACAAAAAAGAGTTTACCAAACTTATGACAAATACTAATTCGCTCTCCCCTCACGGTTAAAATCGCGCTATTTTTTCCTACAAACTTAAAAGGCGACACAGCGCTCTGAAGCCCCTGCAGCGACTTGCTTCCTAGACCCTCTGGCAGTTCCAAAGTAACCGGTGCTTTTGGCGTGGAACGCAATACCGCGACGGTATTAAAAAATACCGCGACAAAGTAACAGTTCCGCCGATACCGTCCCATCTCTACCTTCTACTATTCGCTGTATAATTTCAGGTCCATCTAATTGCGGTAAAACGAATGTAATGTTAAATTTACTTGAAAATATAAACGGTCTACGTTTTGAAAATGTCTATATTTATTCCAAGTCTTTGTACCAGCCGATCTATAAATATTTAAAAAAATTATTTAAGCCCATAAAGGGTATTAATTATTATGAGTATAATGATAATGAAAATATAAAAACGCCCTCAAATGCAAAATCAAATTCTGTTTTTATTTTCGATGATGTAGCTTGTGAAAAGCAAAGCATAATAAGAGATTTTTTTGCAATGGGCAGGCATAATCTTATAGATTCTTTTTATTTAACGCAAACTTATGCCCGCATCCCCAAACATCTTATACGTGACAATGCAAATAAGCTGATAATTGTTAAACAAGATGACATGAACATGTCGTTTGATCAGTTTCATGAAATGTGTTCATTATGTTGGAATGATAAATATAGCTTCCTTGTAATGTGTAAAGAATTTGATATTAATAAAGGTCACTTTAGAAAAGGATTTGATCAATACATAATTTCAAAATAATCGCTTTATAAACAGCACACTGTTTTTTTAAAAAACAGTGTGCTGTTTACTAAAAAAAGAGTGTGCTGTTTTTTAAAAACAGTGTGCTGTTTTTGGAGGGTTTGATAATTATCATAATTATAATAATAATAAATATACTTGTTTCGTAAAATTAGTTTAGTATTTAAAAAACCTTGTTGACATTAACACGCACACAAATATGAAGGACAACATATTAACCAAAAAGTTAATAAAAATTAGGAGGGATATTAAAGCTAAATTAAATGCTATTAAATCTGGCAGATTTCAAACAGAGTTCGAGTTGGAACCATTAAAACAATTAATATCAAAAGCTTCACCGCAGCCCCCGACGCAAACACAACCATCATTGGCAGATATTAAAAAAGAAGAGGCAATAAAAAGCGAGTATGATGTTAAAAAGACCCATATACCAAAAGAATTAACACCTAGTCCTATAAAAAAAAATAAAAAAAAACCGGCAGCAGTACCACATTTTATTGATGATGGTGAAATATTTGATAGCACATTACAAGACGACACATTACAAGACAGTTATTTTTACGATGACAATATTCGCGAACAGCAATTTGCTACCATGGATGATTACATAAATCAAGATACAACTTTTAATTTGTATTTAGATCAATTTGATGAAATGCCACGTGAATATGTTAAAGGATTCATACGAGACACTGAAAATGGATTTGATACTCATTATTTAACTTACGAACCAGTTTTGGGAAAATTTCACTATGGAGATTCAGAAATGGGTTTTAAAGGAAATGATATTGTTATAAAGGACAAAAATAAAAAGGAAGATAGAATATATAAGGGTACTTATGGTTTATATGAATTCTTGTTTAAAAATAAAGCAAACGAAAATTTAATGACTCCAGAAGATATAAATAATTATAGAAATATTATATTGAGCACAAATGCACAAAAAAGAAATTTTGATGCAAATGCACAAAAAGCAGGAAATAGAGGTAATAAGTAATAATATAAATGTAATTAAACCTTTACTTGATTTAGAGGAATCAAACAAAAAAACTGAAACCCAATACAGATCGAAATTAAGAGTGCCACAAACAAAACAACGACAGCAACGTCTTGGGATAGGATTACAAATGCAATACACAAATAAATTAAAAGAATATGTGTACTGGGATGACTGTAATGAGTTAGTTTAACGATTAAGATTATTAATTAGTTCCCAATATGCAGGGAATAATAGTCATGCGAATGAAATAAACAGCATAATTGAAGAGTTAAAAGAAGCCAATATAATCGAATAGATTTCATAAATAAGAAACATTTTTATCATGTCCGTTGACAAGTTCGGACGTAGTTTAATCATTTAAGAAAAAACCAGAAACAAACTAACAAAATGAAACATATTGATGTGAATGCAAAGAATGAAAAAAGTTTGTTAAAATCAATCTTTAGCAATTTAAAAATGTTCAGTCCAAATAATAAATTTAAATTAAAAGACAATGTTCGGATAAGCAAATATCGCGAGGCATTTTTTAAAGGGTACACGCCAAATTGGTCAAATGAAATTTTCACTGTAAAACAGGTTAAATTAACAAATCCTACAACTTACATCTTGGAGGATCAGTATGGAAAACCTATTCTGGGAGGTTTTTATGAATTCGAATTGCAAAAGGCAAAGTTTCCGATATTCATTTGATTAAAAAAATTTTAAGGCGAAAAGAAACAAAAGTATACGTGAAATGGTTTGGAGAAAACGAGAAGAGTTGGATCAACAAAAATGACTTAGTTTAACATTATAATGTATAACTAATAAAAGACTAAATAAAAAACAATTAAGGATTTAAAAGTGTTTTATTTTTTCATAGTATATCATCTAATATGCTTTCAAATAAACTGTCTGTACTTTCACTTTATTTCATTAATTATAATCCATTAATCCTGCATCAACCAATTCGTCTTCAACTTCAATGCGTATGTCGTAGTCGTCATCACTATTTTTAATATTTTCACGTTCACGTATATCCTGGATCATTTGTTGTATTAAAGTTGCAATATCTTGAACAACTGGTAAAGATTGTTTCAATGGAATCCAGTCCAGTTTTAATGGTTCACGTCGTATACACAATGTTTGTTTCGCTGCCCCAATCATGTTTTGATGGTACTGAAGATGTAATTTAATATTTATATTAAAACTCGATAGCCTTGGGGGTCCGGCTGGTGGACCTTGAGATCCTGTTTTTAAAGTATTTCACTTTAAATAAATTTTAATATTCCGCTCAAATCATAAGATCATTTAGTTCTTCAAATGGAGCTTTTAGTCTTTTTTCTAGAATTTTAGTGCGTTGTGTGTGATGATAAAAATAGGAATTTATAACAGGTACGCAACATAAACTAATACTAATTAAAGGTTGCAGTAGATAAACAAAAATATAAAGTAACGCACAGGATAATAAAAAAAAAATTGTGAGGTAACAAATACAATAAAGTCAAATAATACTATAATGCCCCCAAGGCAGAGTATCGTGCAAATCATTTAAAAGGGATCTTTTATCGTCAAAGCAACTTAAGCCAATTTTTTGTTGCTTGACACTATAAACTTCGTGCGCGATAGACTTTATTAAATTTTGATTTATAATTTTATTTGTTTTTGAAATAAGGCAATCGAAATAATCTTGGAAAGTTATAGAATTTTTAACAATATTATATTTTACACCCTTCGATTTTTTAACACATTTTTCACCTTCAAATTTAAAGGTTTTTTAGAGCGCAGACCAATAAAATGTGTCATAATTTCACCGTTAAGTTCGTCTTTCATTAAACCGGGAACTTTTTTATTTAACAAAGGGATATTCCAGCGATTGTTTGCTGCATAATCGCTAGTGTCGAACATTTGGCTATCTTTAAGTATAACTTCCTCATATGCATCGTTACAGGTAAATTCATAAAGCAAACTATCGGTGTCAGTGTATAATAATTTTGCGTTATCGTTATTGAACTTAGATAAAATATAATCGTGATGAAAGTCAAGTTTGCTAAGAGAATGAAAAATAATTGCTTTTGCTCTCTATAAATAATAAATTTCATTAAAATCAAATAACAAATTATAAAAACATCGTAATTATAATTTAATATGGGGAAAACCTGAAATTGCGTTTTAAATAACAAATTATTCATCAATAATCATTAGTCATTATAAAACATCTTAAACAAAATTTGAAATGGAAAAACCAGAAAATTGTGTTTTGAATAAGTAAATGCAATTATAACATTTAAACAGCATATTAATTAGCTTACGTCATATGCTTGTTATACTACACGACCTAGCGACACATTAAAAAATCAAATAACAAATGAGTCAGTATTTAAACATCGTAAATATAATTCGATATTGGAAACCTTGAAAATTGTATTTTGAATAAATAAATGAAATAATAACATTTAAACAACTTATTAACTAGATGTATTTTTAAATTTAAAATAAAGCATGATTTGTACATTAATTAATTTAAGCAGAATTCCACGGTTACGATAAATTTAAAAAAATATGTGTGAAATGTTTAAAGAAGGAAGTCATCAACGCATACTAGCGTTGAGTGAAAGAAAAACTTCAATCAACATGCTTTATATAACTGAGCTCTTATCGTAGTAGAAACTGCACCTTTTGCAGAGAATGTCTTATAATTTCAAGAGCTGTTACTCCCCCTTGGCAAAGGGTACCGGCGTACACTTGCACAACTTCAACCCCATAAAAACACACAAACATAATTAAATAAATTAATCGAATGGGAAATAATATATACCTATGTTTATAAATAATAATACAGGAATCTAAAATTAAGATTAGGATTAATTAAAAAAGAATATGTGTGGAATGTCCAAAGAAGGAAGTAATCAACGCATGCTAGTATACTTTATATAACTTAGCTCTTATCGTAGGAGAAACTGCACCTTTTGCAGGGATGTCTTACCATTTCAAGAGCTGTTACTCCCCCTTTGAAAAGGGTACTGGCGTACACTTGCACAACTTTAACCTCCAAAAAACACACACAAACACATTATTAAATAAATTAATCGAATGGGAAATAACGAATATGTTTATACATTAAGATTATGTTACGTACCTGCAGAATTCCTATGCCCTTAATTTTTTAATAATATGTCCCAACCAAAGGGTTCTCTTATCTACACTACACTTTTTGTTCAAAATTTCGAAAGGTTCACACAATTTTATACATTAATTTGTCCTGCGATCTATTCCTAAAAACAAAATACCATATTAATTTAAAATAAAAAACCTTTTATTCCTTACTCACTTCAATTAACAGATTTCAAAATTTCTCAAGCTGCTCTTATAGTTTTCACAATTTTAGGCATTAATTTAGCCTGAGAATCATTCCTAAAAACAAAATACTGTATTATTTAAAATCAAAAACCTTATAT